CTCCCGGGAAATTAGGTTGAGCTCTCAAGAGAAAGGGGCTTTTAAAAATAGTGACTCCTACTGCTATTAATGCATTATTCGTCAAGTACGAATTGAGTTCTCCGGCCACTGGCGTATTTCGGAAAGAAAATGTTAAAATTTCCCTTTCGCTCTGCCGTGCGACGTTAGTCTAGGGGTAGGATCTCTGACTGATGTCAAATCGGTCGGATTTCAATCCAGACTTGAAGCAGTCGGACGTCTAGCCACTCTACAGAGCTGTGATGCAGCAAAACAGTCTGTCTACGGATGACAATATATATATATATATATATATTGTCGAAAAAATTTAAAGAATTGCTAAAACCAACACAAAAATCATTACACCACCCACACATATAAATTTTTATCATATATATATGATAAAAATTTAGATCACCACAAGGTTCTACACATGCTAAGTGTAAAACTTTATATTTGTATTAACTATATATATATATATATATATATATATATATATATATATATATGTATGTGTGTGTGTACATATACATATGTATATATCATAAAATAAAGAACAAATAGGAAACGTATACCAATCTAACATGTTTAAGAAAATAATTCTTTCAGGAGAAAATACATTGAAAACTTAATAATAACATTACTACCAACTATAAACACACGCCTAAAACATTACATTAAAGCGCCATCTTTGTTTGAATCCATTCTTAAAGGATCTAACTTACATCTATCTAATACAAAGAATACATGAAGAGGTCAGCTATAAATTAGAAAAAGATAACACTCCCGATGCGCTGTTTTGACGGCATAAACGTAACGCATTAAAACTCCCACGAGACTGACACGCATACACATTTACTAATACGCACTACCATCCGATGCCCACTTAGACATACACGAATCTTCACAAAATTACATATATAGAGAATTATCTCCGGTTTTAATGCACGGGACACGCGACTGACCAAGAGAACTGACCCAAACAAAATAGAAAATAACTGAGTTACTATCTTTTTGTCTATTTTCTCTGACGAAGATTTAATAGCAGTGAAGCGTTAAATTGATATATGTTTCCTTTTTTGTTCTTTATGTTCCATCCATAATTGACCTGCATCTGATCTTTACATATATATATATATATATATATATATATATATATATATATATATATATATATATATATATATATAGGTAAATAAGCTATGGGTAAATAGCAGGACAGACTGGGTTCTATAGTTTTGGATGGCAACTGGTCTAGAGAAAGGTCAATTCTGAATTCAAAACCTGCGGAGGGTCGTTAGGTAACCTTGTGGCACGTAGTGCATCAGAACTCTGTATTCGGCCCTTCAAAAAGTGTTGTTGGTTCTACACAAAGCCTTCACCACTATAATCAAATCACTTGTGCTGGTGGCAGGCCGTCGGTTCCTAGGAACTGATCTGCTTGTCCTTCATAGGTCGAATATAACGGGAGAGTCGAATATATATATATATATATATATATATATATATATATATATATAGAGTAACAACAAATCGCTTAACAGCATGCGATAATTTTTCCATCCCACAAAATGTTTAATATCTAAAACACCACTAAACTGAGTTTCTTTTTCCCAGATAATACATTTAGTCATCTTGACACCAAATCCTTTGAGTTATTTAGCTAGAAAGAGAACAGTTTAAAATGGTTTTGTGTTAGCCTCACAGGTCTTCTCAACTGATCAATGGTGAAAGGAAAAAGATCATTCAGACCTTCAGTAAAGGTACCAAAATTCATATTCTGGCTTCCGTCTTCAAAGTCTATTCAAGAACAATCAAGAGAACGGTGAATAAGTTTATAAAAGAGGGGACAGTAGAGAGGAAAACTGGATCAGGAGGTCACAACAGCAAGAGGGATCATCATTTTGACTTAGAGCTAAATATATTCTTATGTTCCAATAGTATTAAAAAAGCTACTAGAATTCCATTAAGATAACAACTGGACAATTTTGCCGTTACACTATTTTGACCATTTTGCTATTACAACTGGTATATGATATCCTTAGCATCCTCCTGTAGAATCACATCTCTGTCGCCCCGAGTCTCTTCTTCATCTTTGAAGAAATCATCCATCATTCGCTGCCGTAAAAGAAGGACAGATGTCACGTAACAGCTCAGTATTCTTTTCTTTGTTACCTGTTGTGGTAGGATCCACCTAATTTGCATAGTGAAGTACCGACCATATAAATATGCTTGGTACCGGGAAGAGAGGAAGGAATCAAGAGATTCAACCAGAGACTCTGCCCGACTGCGACTCAGTCAACACATTCTCCAGGAACGGTCTTACCAGGAATATACAAAAGACTATATGTAAATATTGTGTACACTTTCTTGTTTCAATACATTTTGTTCTAAGTACATTTTGTGTTGCATTATTATTCCATGCATTAGTCAAGTTTCAACATTACCAAAGAAATCTTCCTGTCTCGCAATACTCTGCCCAGCTTTTGGAATGTGCCCCTGGCCATCCCAATACGTCTACGGATCTCAGTGTCGCACTTATAGAGAAAATAAAAAATATTCAGACAAAGAATTCTCTAAAAATGGCTAAGGAATTAATCGAAAGTTTTGGGGATAATAATCACCAGGTACAGTTTCTACATATTCCGTCCTTCCTCATCCCATATCATCTCCACCACCTCCTCCTTCTTCTTCGTTCCTTGTCCCTTCATGGCGTGAGTTACCATACCCCCTCCCACATTTTCAGTCCTCATGAAATAAAAACAGTAGGGACACTAGTAACATACGATGAAAAACTTATAAAACTTCCCTTTTCAATCATGTTCAATGAAACGTACATAGATGAATGATTTCTGCACAAATTATATATATATATATATATATATATATATATATATATATATATAATAATCCTATAAATATAAGCAGTTATACTCGTGCGGTAAATCTGACACACACACACACACACACACACACACACACACACACACACACATATATATATATATATATATATATATATATATATATATATAAACTTCCAGGAAGATAGACTCCAGGTAGAGCGCATTGTCCAGAACAGGGCAATTTCTTTTTAATTTGTAGATCTTGAGGAATTGGATCGTGATTACGGTTCCAATGTAATAAATTATAACAATAGTATATTTGTGTTTGAGACTTTTACATCATATATATATATATATATATATACGTTACACGAAGGTTAGTTCTGGTACAAGACTGCAAGTAAGAGACTTCCAGTGTCGCTGAATTTAGTTACACAGAAAAATAACTTGACGATTTTGAAGGTCACTAAAAGAAGACTCCTAATTAAAAAAATAACTACAACGCGTTCTTTCTCTATACATTTTGTGTTGAGTTATTGCAAATTGAGTCAACATCGATATATTTTAATCAATCGTTTGGATTGAGGTTTTGCCAAATTGCCAGGTGACAGGATTCAATCCAAGTGAAAAACCAGGAATTCGGTTTCATGTTTTTTTCTAGACAGTTCCATGGCCATATTTTTTTTTTCGTACGAAGGTAAGAAAATATATATTATGTTGTAAAGAAAAAAAATTGTTAAAATGTCGGCTTTAATTAAACATTAAAGCCGCCATTTTAACCACATTTTTTATTTGCGTTATTTCGTTTAACCTTTGTATATATGATATAAATAATTTGTGTATGTATGAACAGGTGTGCTCTTATCGTAAGGGTCAAAGGTAAAAATAGTTATCTCAGACCTAAATTATCGTATGTTCGTTTATAATTACGACACTTATGAGGAAGCCCACTCAAAAAAAAAAAAAAAAAAACAAATAAAAAAAAAACGTTATACTAAATAAGAGATAATTGACTTT